TACCGACGAATGCGTAGCATTGGTACTTCCAGTGCACTCGCGAGAAACGAGACGCGTCTCGCGAGACGGTGGTAACTTACTTTTGAGCGGTACTGTAGATGGTACATGTACATTATAATAAAATTGTTTAGTATCAGTTAGGAAACAGTAAGTCCATTGCAATCCCAAGGTTTATCTAGAGAACCCAGATGCCATCATTTTCTTTTTTCACCTGAATGGGAAGCTAGTCCATTATGGGGTTACAGGCTGTATGTATACAAAATAATTATACTCACACCAGAATTGTGTTTAATTGTGCTGACAGTTTCCTGTTACATGTTTAAATTCCTGGGTGGTAGGAAGCACTGAGAGGGTACTTGGTGTGTTATCACCCAGTTGAACACAGTGCAATGACCTTGCCTGTGCCTGAACTCAGAACTCAAGAACTAGTTCAGAGTATTACATGTTTACTAGTACATGTAGGCCACTGTGTCTCCTATGTTAACAGTTCATATTTGTTTCCAAGAGAAAACTGACAGTTGCTTATGACTGTACAGTTGAACAGGCAAGTGGTAAAATGGGGATGGGGATTTTTTTTTCTTTCTTATTGTATAGTATTTTATCTAGTTTTTGTATTACGTTGGGCCATTAAATTGAAATTTTAAGTAACTTTAAATAAAAAATGTTAAATTATGTTAAGAATAAAGAATGTGCAATGTTGGTCAAAGTTGGGATACAAGAACCGATGAACCTATTATTATACATGTAATTACTACTAGTTGAAGGAGTAGCAGGTTGTCCTTACAAAATACACTTACTCCATTTCATTTGTGTGGCTGGTATCTTTGCAGAGTGTTAATTTCTTTTTGCAAAGCTACATGTACATGTGTGAAAGTCTCTGGTTTGTAGAGAAGGTAATTAAAGTTAATGTTGTCATCTTGCAAAGTCTCAAATTTACTATTTATCACCCCCACATATAGAAAGTTTTGATATCAACCAAGGATAACAACTGAAGATAACTTCCCATGTACCAATATTGCGACAAGATATCAAATCTTCATCAGGACTGACATGACTTTTTTGTATTTCAGGGTTGCAGACTTTGAGTTCACCCCAGAGTGTATTGTTTTTGATCTCCTCTCAATTGGGTTATATCATGGTTGGCTTATTGATCCACAAAACACTGAGACTGTCTCTGCTGTTGGTGTACTCAGCTACAATCAGTTGGTGGAGAAAATAATCGCCAGCAAACAAGATGGTGCAGAAAGCCAGTTAGTTTCTGAAGGTACTAATTTTTATTTACACTTCTGGTTTTGTTACCTGTTGATTATATTGCACGTAGAACTGTCCAATTGCTTTTGATTAATGGTAATTTGGACACTGTCCAAATGGCCGATTCCCTCTACGAGACAGGCCTGCAAGGAATCATCAGATGGTAGTGGTATTCATCAAAACAAATATCCAGTTTGGGAAGATTAATACGACTAAAATGATTTGCTGCAGGTGCATCACATAGAGGGAATTTTCAATTAGGAATTTACTTGAAAAGTGTGCAAAATTACATGTAAAAAATAATTGTAATCATGCACACCGTTGGGTGCGATTTTGCACTGACAATATAATAAGTGGGATGAAACAGACCTGCACAAATTGCCTGGCCTAAACCTGGAACCAGACTCCAAGGTTGGGGCACTGGCTTGTGTTTATTTTCTTTGGCTGCACACTTGTCCTTTAAAGGCTTTACTAGATCAAAATACATGTATACGGTACGTCATATCACCCAAATGTATGAATGGGTTGTGGCAGAAATTTGATGCAACCGGACAAAATGCTATAATGTTTGTAATCAGGTATAGTTTGTGATAATAGTAATAATTTATTTAAGCAGGGTGCTGACTCTGATCAAAAAACTATTCTTCCTACATGTAAAACATTTGGTCCCCTCAGTGACGTTGTTGGACTGTTAATTCGGCTCCAATGATGAGAATAAAATAATAAGAATGGTACCGGTAGTAATAAAACTTCATAACAAGTGCTAAAGATGGTCTGTGAAGGCTAATGAAAGATTAAAAAAGCTGTTAGAAGTTTTTGAGATTATGATTAAATATGTGGGAAATGGGGAATACTATGCATTAATTTTGTTGATTGAGTTCAGATTCCATTTGATGGAATGCCTTGCTTATAAAAACAAACTTTTGTTCCACTGGGGAACAAATGCTAAAGAGAAATCTGTGATCACATCATAGCCTTCCATTAATGCTGGGAGAGCAGTTCTTAAAACGTCTTCTAGAGAAACCTAGTATTACACATGAGCTACCAGCCTTGGGATTTCTGACATTTATTGTCATTCCATTTATTGTTTTAGGTTTAATTGGTGAAGCCTTCCTTGAGCAGACAGCTAGCCAGCTAACATATCATGGTTTGTGTGAACTGAACTCACAATTGAAGGATGACCAACTGTGTGTGTTTTTTCGGAATAACCACTTTTGCACCATGCTCAAGTTTAAGGTAGGGGGCCCTTTGCAAAGGATTATACAAAGTTTTCCAAGAGGCATGGTGGTCTAATACATGTATAGTTAGTTTACTGGACTCTAGGTTCGATCCCTGGTTGGGATCATTGCATTTTTTATCACAATTTCTACTAATCTCGCAATCTGATTGGCTAATTTGACGTTGTCGATAAGAGTCTAGGCAATGCTGCTCGCATCAATGTGTCACGCAATGCCTTTTCCAGCTAGTGCTCTGAAAAACATTTTCTTTGACATTGATATTGTGTTAAAAAACAAAATCAAAATGTGGTTTAGCATGGTCTGTACTCTTATCAACAGCAATACAGGTCATCAGAGTGGTCAAAATTTGTTGTGGACTCACTTGGCTGCACCTTGTGAGCCCACAACATTATGATCACTGTGATGACGCGTACCGTTGTCGATAGGAGTACAGACCACGCTAAACCACATTCGATTCGTTAAGTGTTAATTGCCACTCTCCATCTGGGTTAGGCATCTGGTAAATAGGCATGCACAAATTTAGTGCAAGGGGATAACCCTGTGATGGACAACCATTCCATTCAGGACTGGCCTATTGGGCTGCTAGGCTCAAACACACATCAGACTTCTGTCTAGACATACTTTTGTTTTGTTTTTGCAGGTGATTATGAGATAAATGCATGTACATGTATATACTGTAACTATGTAAGTCTTTGAATATTGCTGAGGTTTCCTTGAAAAGTGCTTTAATGAATAGTCCTTGTGAGAAAAGTTCCAAAATCTGTATTCATGAGCCATATTATTAACCCAATACAGATATATCACCTGGCATTGGATTACAGTAAATGTCGAAGGCAGTCAGAGTGGCATTTTTTTCTTTTCCTGATGTTTACTCTATATGCTTTGATAGGATGAGCTTTTCCAGCTGGTTACTGATCAAGGATTTCTCACAGAAGACCGTGTAATTTGGGAATCATTAACGAATGTAGAAGGTGATGGTTTTTTTGTGGACGCTGAATTTAGAAGTCTTCGAGTTGTGAAGAGTGAGCCGCCACCAGCACCAGTGCCACTTAGTCAACAACTTTCACAGGAAGATCAAGAGTAAGCAAATCATTCAATGAGCTATTAATAGCAAACTTCTTTACCTGGTGAGGGAATTCCTCATTAAATTTCACGCAAAGAAACCAATATAGCATGAATCGTGAAGCGATGAGTGTGATATTGGTTTTTCAAGGAAAATTTAACATACAATTCAGTCAGGTTATAATTTTCCTTGAATTGCATAGCCTTCTTTTTAAATGAAGGAAAACCCTGTTTCACTGAGTTGTTGTTTTGTTGTTGCTCCAGTGCAATATCACACACAGCCTCGCTTTCAAGAGTTACAATTCCACATAGCCTGAATACCTTGCCTAGGTATTTATGTGATTACTCATTGATAATAACTCTGAGAAAATTACAAACACACCTGGGTTAAATTTGTTCTGTATTGCAAATTAATAATTAATGATTTATTGGCTTCTTCTCAGCCAATCACAATGAAGTTATATTCTTAGTCATATAATAGATTAATTTATTTTTCTTCTCCAGCTTCTCAGCAGTCCAAAATCCTAAATCCTTAAATCTGATTGGTTAATTGTGCATGTTTCAACAGTCCAGATTTTCCCATCCAGACCCCGAGTACAGACAGGTGTTTGGCAACTTTTCATCAAGCTATTTTATTGCTTTTTGTGCCCAAAATGTAAAACGGCGTGCATATGCCAGATTTTTTGAACTGAACTTCTTTAATTAAACTCAACACAACAGTTGCTTTTGAAGCAATACCGCAGAGAAAATATAACCATGTTACATCTATTTGCCGGCCTTGGTCAGTCCATATTTAGAAAAACTGTACCCTTGGTCTTGAGTACAGCCTGAGGCCGCACAGTATTTTTGCAATATGGACGTCCTGGCTGGCTGACATAATTACTTTGTATATAAATGCCATAGAAGGCAAAATTTCTGTATGCTGACAGCGGGTATTTTTTGTTCATTTTCATTTGTTGAGGGACAAAATTACTGCCTTCACTTCATAAGATCACCTGATAACTTATGACTAGTGGTCTCTTGAAAAAATGATAAACAATAACTTTTCGAACACATCAATACAAATGTAATTATTTTTTCCGTTATGTTATTAAAAATATATATATATTTTTACATGTGTCCTCGTAATATCAAGGAATGTATGAGTTGTGTTTTCAGAATTTGCAACTTAGCTTACTGAAGCCATTTGTGATTTTTTTTAAAACATGCATGCAGAATTTTTCCTTAATTGTACTGTACCCAATATTACTTATACTATTCTAGAAAGAGCTTGACCTAGACATTGTTTAATGGAGAAGGGAAGTTTGGAAGAAAAGCAAAAATGCTTTGGCCAAAGCACTGTACTGTGTAGAACCCTGTTTATCTCGTCACCAAAAGAGCCACCAAGTAAGCCAAGACAAGGCCTGCTTAACCTCAGTCCCTACCCAATCAGGGACCTACCCACTAGTGTAGCAAGTCTGATGAAGATTGTAACCTTAAAAGTTGACCTTGAATTATTAAAAATACATTAGTCTGTGTTAAATTATTTCCTACAGTTACCTGGTTGCATTAAGCCTAGCCGAAGAAGAGCGCACCCCTGGAGAGGCTCAGACACACCCTGGAGGGCCAGTGCAAACTGAGCCCCTACCCAGCCAAGGACCTACCCAGCAGAGTGCCCAGGCTAATCAAGAGTTCTCTGAGTAAGTTACTTCAATATAACATGAGTTGCCATTAATAACACAAAATTAATATAATCCATCAAATCTTGGAAAACTGTTTGCTTCTCGGTACGGATATAATGTCCGCGGACAAATATCCTAGCGTATACTGTATTTTTGGACAAATAGAGGCTATTGTTTGTATATATGAAAATCACATTATTTAATATAATTTTATCGCCTGCTGTTCCCATCCCTCACTGTACAAGGACCTAGAAAATATTTATTGAGTTTGTTTGAAGAATGTTTGATGTACACTGAAGATCACTCTTTGAAAGTTAGTGGTGAATCTTAAAATTCTCCTCATCATATTAATGCCAAACAGAAAAGTGTTGAGAATAAAGAAACCATCAAAGTTATAATATACTTAACAAATAGATTCCACGACAATGTCGCTGTGCATCTGTTCAGTAATAGATCACAGATGATGCCAAACTGTGGTACTGTAAGAACAAATAAGTGGCACAAGAGCAGTTAGGCAAGTGTGTGAATGGTGTTCTTACCGCCTATTTACGTCTCTTGTGATGTATTACTGAACAGCACACAGCAACATGGAATCTATCTGTTTTATATAATAAAGGAAGAATAACAACAAATTAATGTCATTGTCTATACGTCTGTCCTCTAACAGATCATAAGTAAGAACCAATCAAAATGCGAGAATAATTTGTCTTCTCATATAAATCGAATATTCACCACCCACATTAGAAAAGATGTGTGGTTGAGCATGCACTTTGAACTTGGACTTGAATGTTTATGAGCAGTATGTTGGGTCACTTTGTTGTGTTCTTGGCTCTTTGTTTTTATGGTGCCTCTTTCCACTCGAAAGTAGGGGGTAGGTTAAGAAAAACTCCTGGGAGCGTTATGATACTGAAACCAAGATAAGCTGTGTTGTATGAGACACGGTCCAATGAAGACTAACCTTTGCTAGTCTGGGGCGGATCTAAGGCGGGTTCCGGGGGGCTTCGGTGGAATCTCCTAAATGTTTTGTCTTTAGAAAAATTAGACATTATAACACGCTTGCTTGGCCTCTGAATGCCGAAAATCCCATTTCTGAGGACCTCAATTATAAACTTTTGCCGGGGGAGGATGCCCCTGGACCGCTCTACAGGGAAATCCTGTACCCGCCTCAGCTGATAACAGTACTGGGTAGCCTTTCTGATAAAAAAAAAAAATCCAACTCTTACTTCCACAGTCTCCAATTGGCGCTGCAACTACAGGAGGAGGAACGAAGAGAACAACAACAGCGGCAGCAACAACAACANAAATAGGCATGCACAAATTTAGTGCAAGGGGATAACCCTGTGATGGACAACCATTCCATTCAGGACTGGCCTATTGGGCTGCTAGGCTCAAACACACATCAGACTTCTGTCTAGACATACTTTTGTTTTGTTTTTGCAGGTGATTATGAGATAAATGCATGTACATGTATATACTGTAACTATGTAAGTCTTTGAATATTGCTGAGGTTTCCTTGAAAAGTGCTTTAATGAATAGTCCTTGTGAGAAAAGTTCCAAAATCTGTATTCATGAGCCATATTATTAACCCAATACAGATATATCACCTGGCATTGGATTACAGTAAATGTCGAAGGCAGTCAGAGTGGCATTTTTTTCTTTTCCTGATGTTTACTCTATATGCTTTGATAGGATGAGCTTTTCCAGCTGGTTACTGATCAAGGATTTCTCACAGAAGACCGTGTAATTTGGGAATCATTAACGAATGTAGAAGGTGATGGTTTTTTTGTGGACGCTGAATTTAGAAGTCTTCGAGTTGTGAAGAGTGAGCCGCCACCAGCACCAGTGCCACTTAGTCAACAACTTTCACAGGAAGATCAAGAGTAAGCAAATCATTCAATGAGCTATTAATAGCAAACTTCTTTACCTGGTGAGGGAATTCCTCATTAAATTTCACGCAAAGAAACCAATATAGCATGAATCGTGAAGCGATGAGTGTGATATTGGTTTTTCAAGGAAAATTTAACATACAATTCAGTCAGGTTATAATTTTCCTTGAATTGCATAGCCTTCTTTTTAAATGAAGGAAAACCCTGTTTCACTGAGTTGTTGTTTTGTTGTTGCTCCAGTGCAATATCACACACAGCCTCGCTTTCAAGAGTTACAATTCCACATAGCCTGAATACCTTGCCTAGGTATTTATGTGATTACTCATTGATAATAACTCTGAGAAAATTACAAACACACCTGGGTTAAATTTGTTCTGTATTGCAAATTAATAATTAATGATTTATTGGCTTCTTCTCAGCCAATCACAATGAAGTTATATTCTTAGTCATATAATAGATTAATTTATTTTTCTTCTCCAGCTTCTCAGCAGTCCAAAATCCTAAATCCTTAAATCTGATTGGTTAATTGTGCATGTTTCAACAGTCCAGATTTTCCCATCCAGACCCCGAGTACAGACAGGTGTTTGGCAACTTTTCATCAAGCTATTTTATTGCTTTTTGTGCCCAAAATGTAAAACGGCGTGCATATGCCAGATTTTTTGAACTGAACTTCTTTAATTAAACTCAACACAACAGTTGCTTTTGAAGCAATACCGCAGAGAAAATATAACCATGTTACATCTATTTGCCGGCCTTGGTCAGTCCATATTTAGAAAAACTGTACCCTTGGTCTTGAGTACAGCCTGAGGCCGCACAGTATTTTTGCAATATGGACGTCCTGGCTGGCTGACATAATTACTTTGTATATAAATGCCATAGAAGGCAAAATTTCTGTATGCTGACAGCGGGTATTTTTTGTTCATTTTCATTTGTTGAGGGACAAAATTACTGCCTTCACTTCATAAGATCACCTGATAACTTATGACTAGTGGTCTCTTGAAAAAATGATAAACAATAACTTTTCGAACACATCAATACAAATGTAATTATTTTTTCCGTTATGTTATTAAAAATATATATATATTTTTACATGTGTCCTCGTAATATCAAGGAATGTATGAGTTGTGTTTTCAGAATTTGCAACTTAGCTTACTGAAGCCATTTGTGATTTTTTTTAAAACATGCATGCAGAATTTTTCCTTAATTGTACTGTACCCAATATTACTTATACTATTCTAGAAAGAGCTTGACCTAGACATTGTTTAATGGAGAAGGGAAGTTTGGAAGAAAAGCAAAAATGCTTTGGCCAAAGCACTGTACTGTGTAGAACCCTGTTTATCTCGTCACCAAAAGAGCCACCAAGTAAGCCAAGACAAGGCCTGCTTAACCTCAGTCCCTACCCAATCAGGGACCTACCCACTAGTGTAGCAAGTCTGATGAAGATTGTAACCTTAAAAGTTGACCTTGAATTATTAAAAATACATTAGTCTGTGTTAAATTATTTCCTACAGTTACCTGGTTGCATTAAGCCTAGCCGAAGAAGAGCGCACCCCTGGAGAGGCTCAGACACACCCTGGAGGGCCAGTGCAAACTGAGCCCCTACCCAGCCAAGGACCTACCCAGCAGAGTGCCCAGGCTAATCAAGAGTTCTCTGAGTAAGTTACTTCAATATAACATGAGTTGCCATTAATAACACAAAATTAATATAATCCATCAAATCTTGGAAAACTGTTTGCTTCTCGGTACGGATATAATGTCCGCGGACAAATATCCTAGCGTATACTGTATTTTTGGACAAATAGAGGCTATTGTTTGTATATATGAAAATCACATTATTTAATATAATTTTATCGCCTGCTGTTCCCATCCCTCACTGTACAAGGACCTAGAAAATATTTATTGAGTTTGTTTGAAGAATGTTTGATGTACACTGAAGATCACTCTTTGAAAGTTAGTGGTGAATCTTAAAATTCTCCTCATCATATTAATGCCAAACAGAAAAGTGTTGAGAATAAAGAAACCATCAAAGTTATAATATACTTAACAAATAGATTCCACGACAATGTCGCTGTGCATCTGTTCAGTAATAGATCACAGATGATGCCAAACTGTGGTACTGTAAGAACAAATAAGTGGCACAAGAGCAGTTAGGCAAGTGTGTGAATGGTGTTCTTACCGCCTATTTACGTCTCTTGTGATGTATTACTGAACAGCACACAGCAACATGGAATCTATCTGTTTTATATAATAAAGGAAGAATAACAACAAATTAATGTCATTGTCTATACGTCTGTCCTCTAACAGATCATAAGTAAGAACCAATCAAAATGCGAGAATAATTTGTCTTCTCATATAAATCGAATATTCACCACCCACATTAGAAAAGATGTGTGGTTGAGCATGCACTTTGAACTTGGACTTGAATGTTTATGAGCAGTATGTTGGGTCACTTTGTTGTGTTCTTGGCTCTTTGTTTTTATGGTGCCTCTTTCCACTCGAAAGTAGGGGGTAGGTTAAGAAAAACTCCTGGGAGCGTTATGATACTGAAACCAAGATAAGCTGTGTTGTATGAGACACGGTCCAATGAAGACTAACCTTTGCTAGTCTGGGGCGGATCTAAGGCGGGTTCCGGGGGGCTTCGGTGGAATCTCCTAAATGTTTTGTCTTTAGAAAAATTAGACATTATAACACGCTTGCTTGGCCTCTGAATGCCGAAAATCCCATTTCTGAGGACCTCAATTATAAACTTTTGCCGGGGGAGGATGCCCCTGGACCGCTCTACAGGGAAATCCTGTACCCGCCTCAGCTGATAACAGTACTGGGTAGCCTTTCTGATAAAAAAAAAAAATCCAACTCTTACTTCCACAGTCTCCAATTGGCGCTGCAACTACAGGAGGAGGAACGAAGAGAACAACAACAGCGGCAGCAACAACAACAACAAAGAACACAGTCAAGACCGCAACCAGCGCGCGGATCTCCTTCACGATCCAACATCCTGCCTCAGTCACAGCAGCAGAGCAGTAACTCCAATCAACAGAGAGCGGAGTCAGCTGTAAGGCAATTTGTCTATAAGAAAGATACTACTTTCATTGGGGGTCAAGTTTGCTGCGAAGCGCAGTGCTTATATGGAATCTTTTGTCAAGTTCTTATGTCACTATGTACATGTAATGTTCGTAAAATTTCAAATTTTCGTGATTTTTTTTTTTTTTTTTCGAAATATCCGAGTCGTGTTACTGAGGTTTCACTGACAGGTGGGGAAGAAACAGTGCTGGAAAGCGTGAAGTTTGACTTTGTAGTTTCTCAAACATTTGTCTGCAAGAATAACTCAAAGTATAGTTATACTTCTATGCTTATACAGTCCAATTTTGGGAAAGTGTAACTGGACGCTTCCAGCAAATGTGGTTGCCCCTCAGAAATACTGTCTATTGTGCCATGTTCACAGCTTTTCTTGCAGCTTTTGTTTGCTTCCTGCCCAAAGTACACTTTAATTGTGTGCACTGTTTTCCTAAATCACCTTAACATTGCTGTTTTTATGGTTTTTTTTTTTTTTTTTTTAGGAACTGAAATGTGTTATCCTTTAGATGGACGTTCACTCCAAGATCACCAGATAGACTACATGTCAAGCTACAAGAAAAATTATTAGACCTTCTTAACATACTCGTCACAAATGCGAAGTTAAATGAACTTATCAGAGGTTGTATAAATCATACATCAAGCGGCAGATAACGAGTATTTTTAGATTAGGATTAAAGCGATTTACAATGACTGTAAATCTAAAGCCAAATTATTAAATTAGCTAGTCACTATACAATGGTAGAAAACGAATTGAGCCAATCAGAAGTCCAAGTACAAACTTACAAATCGGTGAAAAGCGCGGGAAAAATCACGTAAGCCAAAACGCGCTTCGTTGTATGTTTATTGCACGGGCTACAGTACTGGGTAAATGAACCAGTCTCAGTGTTTTCCTACGGAAATCACCGAAGGAATACGGGGCTAGGGCTAAAAAGCAAGAAGAGATTGGGAAGAGACGGACCCAAAGAGAAAAAACAAAATGAGCAATCGTTTATTTCAACACAGAGCGTAAATTTATATAAATTATGACATTTCGGCGTCCATAAAGCGGAAATTTCTCTTCTGTAGGAAATGCGTTCTTTTTTGAAGCTAAAGTTGCTAGTTGCCTTAGTTATAGATGACGAATGTGACGCTGTAAAAACGTTCTCTACCCGCAGTCTTTTAAAATTTCAGTTTCAAATGAAAACATCGCCATTAACTAAAAAGGTTTGTTTCGTGCCTTATTAGGGAAACGTTAACATTTCAAATGATCATCTCCTGAGTTTCCGTAAAACGTGGAAAACCGGTTTGAATCTGAGCCAACTAGCGGTTAATCTTGTTTGTGTATCAGTGGTGATCAGAAAACCCGGTCACATACACTGGTTTGACTGGTTTTTTCCTTGCCACGGGGTCAGGTTTTCGTATCGCGTAATTCATGTTGCTATGCGTAAAACATATTTTAAACTGTAAAGGAAGGGATGTTGATTGTATTTATATCGGCCAGTTGAGACGTGGTTTGAATCATTAATTATCTTGCCATTCTCGAAAATAATATATAGATGTATTTGCTACGTGATTGGGAGGTCCGGGCAAGGAAATATTTTGCTTAATGTTATGACGTGCCTTTGGACGACAGGAATGGCCGTGCAAAATATCTGAGAGCCAAATATTTTCCTTTCCGGACGGGAAAGGGAAATAATACAGTCGAACCTCTTTTGTACAGATACCAAGGGGTCACTGCCGAGTGTCCAAATTATGGAGGCATCCGTGATATAGACTAGAGATTACATGAATTCTGGTTACTCTGGGACCAATTGAAGTGCCCGTAAAAAAGAGGTGTCTGCAAGGAGAGGTTCGACTGAAATCACTGTTACATGTAAAACAAATCTGGAATGACCAGGGTTTAAGTTATGGTACTGTATATGTTACTTGGCTACACAGCTGTTTCATTTAAAGGTTCGTTTTATTAGGTTGAATAAAATTGATGAAGTATTTACTCTGCGGTTCTCAAACGATAGCGCCATTCTAAATTATCAGTGCAAGATCTACAATGACAATGCTAACAACTAACAGCTTTTGTTTGTTTTTGATTTTCTCCATCTGTTATTTATTTTTTTTAAATAGAAATGTAGTTACAATGCAATGCTGTTGCTTAAGAATAAAAATTAAATTGTCTGTAACCGCCTGGTATTCTTGTTCTTAAAGATATGGTTTCCACGAAGCTGAACTAAAAACATGCATATCAAACAACATAGCCGGTTGCTAAGACGCAACCTCGTTTGTAGGCTCTCTCCTTTGCCTCCCTTACCTGGAGGCAAAGGAAAGAGACCCTGGGAATTAGGTTGACTAAGACGCTTTTACGCGTACGGTTCCTCCCCCACGGACGACCAGCGAGTCCAAAGGATCGTCAGCGTAGAAGGTCACGAACACCATGACTCGAACCCAAAGCAAACAAAGATGCCAAGCGCGGGAACTTCATGTAGATGTACATAATTAAACGGCATACAACTACAATGGAATGATGAGTGTTAGATCAGAGAACTATTAAAACTCACATTCGTGCAAGCCACAATCGAAGTCCGTTTTGTAATTAAAACAAGCGGACTGGAAAACCGGTCGTACTTTTGCTATGATGATAAGGACGTAAACAGGCATTCACAAATCACAATCAAGCTTGTCCCAAAATATAAAATGCTTCACAGCGCCATGAAATAAGACTTTGATCACTTCACTACCAGCACTAGCGGTTATGTCGACGCCTCATCTCAATAGTTAAGGCCTTCGTTTTCTAAAAAGATCAAGTGGGAAGAACTATATTTCTTACTCCTAAGTCTAGTCACAAGGTCAACATCAAAATTCTCCTTTCTGATAATTATTCATTTCCTTTCAATGGTCCAGGGAGAATTCGATTTTCAATCAGATTACTGGGTTGTTCATTCTCATAGGCTGCTTACTTTAATTTACCACGAAAATGTCAGGGGAAGGTGACGTTCGAGGAGTGTTTCTCGCGTCTGTTAATTTTTATCGCACGTGAACTACACAGCAAGCGAAACTGCTAGGATTCTCTAGTGCTACATGCTACACGCTTCGTTGTCTTGGCTAACTGCAGGGCAATGTCACTGTTCCTCTTGTGTTTCTTCGTCGGCCTTAATAATATTGTCATGAAAGATTCCGTCGTTGCGAGACAAACTTGCATCGGCCAATTCACACGCAAAGCCTGCCTCGGTGATTAATTCGGCATCAGAAAACAGTGAATCTTTTTTGGCATCACGGAAAGATTTTCTCCTGGAAATCACCGAAGAACTCTTCTGCTTTTTAACTTGAGAGCAACACTTGTGGAGAATCACCCCTGCCTCGAAGAAAGCGCGAACGACTTGAGACAACACGGCGAAAATGACGGCGATAATTAAAGCGAGCGGTAGCAGCAGTAGTAGACATAATTGGATCCAGGCCAATGCGCGAATGTATGTTTCGATTGGGCCCCAGAAGCGCACTCCTGCAGTTATAAAGGTGGCGTGAACAGTGTTGAACAGGCCAAACATCACGATTATCAACAGCGACACCGTTTCCAATCTGTTTACAGTGTTATTCTTATAAGGATTGCACAGGATGTGGTGAACGGAGATTAAGACACAAACTACTGTCGACAGCAATAGGCGAAGGCTTGCCATGTTGATAAAAGCGAACAAAATGATGAGGATCAAGCGACGGCCGATCAAAACGCTTTCCCAGTGGAGCGCGCCTTTCTGTTCCTCGTCTGGTGGTCGAAAAGGCCCGTAAAGAACTTCCATGACGGCAACGCGCTCTTCAGTCTGTTGCTGTCTTTCGCGGTAGAGACAGGTGCGTTTGTTTCTCCGGATGGCCCAATACAGCAGAAAGGGGAGAGGAACAGCACAAGCTATGAGAAATTCTCGGGCGGTTATGCGTTTTTCGTTCAGCCAACTCGCTCCCCAGAACAGAAGGGCAACAAAGGGTATGACGTAAACGATAACGCAGCCAAGTAGAATATATTGCCACCACGTGACAAACACAATGTTGCCATCAAAGAACAAGTGAATCTCTTTTCCAGGACTCATGCGTTTTAATGTTAGGAGCTTGAACGCGCTGGTTGCTAGGGACGCGTATCCAAGTAGAACAACTTCTGTTGCCGCGGATAGATGAGGCGCAAGAGATGGCTGATCGGTATTGCGCACTTTGGCCCAGACCTGTCGAGCGCCGTAGATCAGAAACACGCAAAACACCACGGAGAAAACTTCACATGTGGCAAAAAGCTCTTTGGTAGCGACCGATATCCCGGGGAATGGACAGCCTAGTCCGCTTGAGGATGAGTGAAAACGGAAGTTAAATATGCCGGTCAGAAAGGGAACGAAAAAGTGAGCTTGTATCGTCTGCCCAGTCGTGCTGGTAACAAGAAGTCCCACAACCTGATAAAAGTAAAATATCACGTCTAGATATCCTGACTCGCACGTGCTATTACCGTTGTCTTTCTTCGTTTTGTCCGGACTCTTCTCGCTTGACTTATCTTCTTCGCTTGTGGACTTCCTAAACCAAAAGATATGTTCCACCAAGAAAGGAACGATAGGAGGCTTGGTTACAAAGAAAATGGCGACGGCCAGGGAGTAAATAATTACCGCTGGCCAAAGCCACACGTCATTGCAGTCTTCGTTGCGCCTGCATGAGCTGGAGAACAAAGTTTCACTGTATCCCTCTGCGCATGCTCCGCAAAGAACACCCGAGCGGTGTCCATGGCAACCATCGTAGATTGATGACACGGGATCTTCAGGGGTTTGGCAGTAGTCGAGGGGACAGTCGAAGAATTCTAGTGTTGGAGGGTTTTGTTTTACCACTGAGCCCCAGAAATGATCAAGATTCACAATATTTTCCGAGCAGTTTCCTCCGTAGGGACACGGAAGACATTTGAAATCATCTTTCACTCGCGTACCGTTAGCTTGTCCTCGCTGTAAGCTGTAAAACCACACCGGGCAGGGTTCACAATATATACTGTACACCTTGACATATAGAGCACAACTTTTGTTCACAAATTCCGAGGGTAATGTTGTTGAGATTCCGTGGGAATAGTTATCAAACCATAGTCTACTTCCAGCGGGACAGAGCATGGAAGAGCTGTTATCAAAGGTCACATTTCCTCCGTTGACTATCTCCACAAGAAGCGGATTGCTCAGAGGAATAAAATCCATGAGTGTGTCTTTGACAACCAATGGCCCTGAACTGCTGCTGTACAAGAACGAGGGATTTTTATCACTATAAGGAAACCTTTTTGCTTGGCGAAAGGTGCAGTTGTAAATTTCCGCGGCACCGGATCCTGCACCTATAGTCATGTGACCCGCTCGAAAAAAGGCAAAGTTATCGACAAAAGAACAGTTTTGAAATATCGCGAGGCCGTTAAATACCAACACCGCTCCAGTGTTTTGCCCACCGTTTTGTTCAAAAACAGAGCTTCTGAAGATAATTTGATTCGTGTAGCTGTAAGCGGGATGTGCATCAACGCTGGTGTTGTATATATCGGTTTTGCAGCCCGTTGACGTCATCAGGTCCGGGTCATTGTCGATGATGATGGCGCCCACTCCATCTTTAACGTTGGTGTTGTGTTTAAAAGAAGCATTGTGAATTTGTACCTTATTGTTTCCCCCTGAAGACAGCGAGATATACACAACGGAAGCCTTTCTTTGATTTGCATTTGGTATCGTGTTTTTTTCAACTGTAATGTTTTCTAATAAGGCTGTGGAAGATGAGTCAAGCTCTAAAGTCAGGGAGCATCTATGAGAGTTTTGAGAAAATAGGCTGTTTGTCAGATAGAGAGAAGTCCTCTTGATTTGGCTGACTTCCAGTCCACCCCAGTTGTTTATGAACGTGCAGTTGTTCACTATAATTGTTGCCTGGGATGAAGGGAAAATCGTGGCGGCCATTCCGACATTGTCATAGAAGCGACTGTTCGTCAAAGAGACAAAGTACCCCCTGTTGAACCAGATTTTGGCGTTCCCTTTAAAAAAGCTTTCCGATATTGTCAAATTTGCCATTGAGTGAAACTTCAGAATTCCTTCTGTCGCGTCTGCACTTGACCTTTTAATTTCCGCCTCGGATGTGTTCGTAAACACGCTCCTCAGTATGGTAGTGGAGCCGTAGTAGAACGACATAGGGGTGGAGTAAAACGTCAAGTCTTGAAAAGACACTTCGGCGTATTTTCCAACGAAGAAAATACCGCTCGGGCAGAACAAGTGCGCGGGACCATTTCGACCAATGAGAGATAGGCTTATATTCAAACGAGTGCCCGAATATAGGGGCGTCATAACCGTGCATGCGTATGGGTTATGTTTGGTGTTTGTTCCATCGAGGTGGATCTTGTCACCCCAGGCTACCAGATACAACACATCAGCCAAAGACTTGCAGGGGAACTGAGGAGAATTGCATTTCGTAGATTTCGTCCCCGATACTTGAGAAACATACCAGTCGTTTGATGCGTAGCAAAATGCTAAAATAGAAAATGTAAAACATGAGGATTATAAATTTCTTTATGCGGACAGTCTCCGGGAAGGGTTAGTTCAGGGACTGGAGCACTTTGGTATATGAAAAAGTGCACGCCAACTTCCATGTTTGGATAGGTGTTCCGTTATGGTTCAATTACATCTTCAGACCAAAAATCCTTTTTGCGCATGCCTTTAAGTTCATGAACGGTCTCTAACGTGCGTAGAGCAAGTAACTGCTGTGACCAATGCTGGCTTACTTTCCGATTTCTCTCAGAAGTTTTGCCGAAGTTTTAACACGGGGCCTGGATGGCGGAAAGCACTTACTCGATTTTTTTTTCCCCATGGCTCCCCTTGCACGAATTTTTCTTCAGCAGTTATAGCTGTGCAGGAGTGTTTTTATGGAAATTACCCAACCCCNCCCCCCCTCCCCCCATCCCTCTTTCAAAGCAAATAATGGTCCATCTCTTACTTTGTGTTCGTCACGCAATCGCTCCTCGTAGGAAGATATTGCGTGAAATTGCTGGTAATACGGCAAAATGTAATGTTTGCACGTGGCTGGGATCATGGCTCAACTCACAGAAGGTGCCCGTTAGCAATCCAAAACATATCAGTAGTAGGAACGACGAAACAGCCAAAACCGAAAGCTTTCCCACCTTCGCAGCGAAGTGTTTTTGTTTAGGAATTGATCATGCTTTGCTGCAAGCGCAGCAGTCACAAGAGAGTTTTGTATTACTTCACTGATACCAGACTATTCTGATGAGATCAATTCTCCTTTTCTCATGACCTCTTCATTGGATCGCCGACGACAAGATGAAGTGTCTCAAAACATTTAGGTATTCTCACTAGTATTAAATAACGCCCCTCCCCACTCTCCCTGAGGTATTCGGAGACCGGAAATCTCGCAGCAGCAGTGAACCACTGTGTAACATATAAAGTAAAATGGATTGTAAATTTAGTTGGTCGGATAAAATAAATCCCCTTAATTTAATATTAAAGTTATGAACGCCAAATTGTTTTAATTTCTCGAAGGAACCCTTTTGGCAAAGCTTTGACACGGGCAAGTCGCACCATGCATGCCTCTGTAATCGCCCACGAATTCTAAAATGAGCAATTGAAATTAATTTAATTTTCTCTTTCGGAGCATAAAGCGAATTCAAGACGTCTGAAGTATTTTGTGAACAGGGAGAAAATTGTTTCTACCCTGAAACTCGTGAGGTCGACTTGTGGCAAGTCTAACAGGTTGCTCGTCTAGACAAGTCTGGACTGAAATCAAGTCATGCTATTCCCATTTACAACGATAAAATTTTCTAACAGAGAATGTAGTACTTTGTGTAAAACCCAATGAATTGGTAATACCAATATTTCTCGTATCAGCTTACCGTTTACTGCCGCCAGGATAACAAAGGAAACGCGAACAAACAACATTTTCAGTAGACGAATCCGCCTTCCAGCACAGTTAAGGTGAAGTCACGCGACTCTTTCAGGGGTCACGGTATCCCCGCTAAGTCACGAAACATGAGGAAGCCTGCGGAGAAGCCGAACCTGTCACAAAATCTTTCATAAAGTCTGGCGTTGAAGACTGTCGGTGACGCAGGCTGGGGTTAGCTTGTCAGTCAAAAAAATAAAATAAATAAAATATCGGTAGCTCATAAAGTATTTCATTTGTTTCACAGCACTGAACAATTTCAGTTCTTCCATTTAACAATCACTCTTGAGGACTACTGCAGAATCGACTAGGCCTGTCCCGATTGTGCTCGTAAAATGCTGGAAAGTTGCTCACTGGAATGCCAAAAAGTTGCTAAAAAATTGCCAAAAATCCAAAAAGTTGCTACCAAAATTTCAAAAGTTGCTGCCTAAATTTCTTGC